ACTTCGGGGAAACTTTGGGGACACCGAAAAAGGTCCAGGACCCTTCCGGGACACCGGTCCGGGAAAAGTCCGGGAAATGTCCGGGACACGTTTGCAGGCTTCCAATGCGCGGAGGGAGCTGGCCCCCAAACCGCCGAAGAAGCCGAAGAAGACGGGCGCCACGGTAAGGCCCCCCCCCTCGCTGCAGGGGGTCTTAAGCCGCATGGGCCACACGGAAAAACCCGCCGCGGCGGCGGCTGCTTCCGCCACCGCCGCGGGGGGGGTTGGGGTTCCCCCCCAGGTTTGTTTCCCCGGGGGATTCCCACATTTTTTCCGGAAATTTCCGGAAGTTTCCGGAAGTCTTCCCAAATTTTCCGGAAAGTTCCCCCCCCTCCGGGACTTTCTTTAACCCCCCCCCCCCCACCACCCCCCCACCTCCCCCCCCCCCCCCACCCACCCTCCCCTCCCCAGTCGAGCGGCGTCTGCGCCCCGTGGGCCTCTCGCGACGTCGCCGAGCTGCGCGAGATGCTGCCGCCCTCGATGAGCGACGTCGAGTTCCGACTGCGCGAGTCTATTGGCCCCTCCCCCCCTAGATGCAAGGACACGGACCCTGCCCCTCCCCTCCCACTCGACTCTGCTCGCCGCACGCCGCAGCCCTTGTACTCTCTGCCCCTTTCTGCCCTGACCTCTGGCGTGTGGCATGGCGTAGGCCGAGCCGCCTACAACCGCCTCTTCGCCGAGAACCAGGGCCTGATCTACCGCGAGGTGCAGACCTCTCCGAGACACCTCCGAGACACCTCCGAGACACCTCCGAGACATCTCCGAGAGACGCCCGAACTGGAGACCTCCTCCCAGACATGTCCACGACATGTCCACGACACGGACCCTGGCACGCCCCGCAGGTGAACCAAGTCATCCCGAACTGGAGGGACGCGTCGGTCATGGAGAAGGCCGACTTTTTGCAGGAGGGCGCGCAGGGACTCCTCCGCGCACTGCGCCTCTTCGACGTCGGACGCGGCGTCGCCTTCTCCACCTATGCCGTCTGGCACATCCGCGCCTTTGTCTTGCGAGCCGTCCGCGACAAGGGGCGGCTCGTGAGGCTGCCTCAGGCGTCTGCAGCACCGCCGCCGTCCTCTCCAGCCGTCCTCGCACCCCTTCCCCCCCCGCAACCCCCTTTACTCGCTACGCACCGCCTCTGTCTCTTACCTCACCGCCCCCTCGCCGCCCCCTCGCCGCCCCCTCGCCGCCCCTCCCAGGCGCTGCAGCAAGACATGCAGCAGATCCGCAGGGCGCGGTACCGACTAGCTGTCGACAACTCGGGCGCCCGCCTCCCCGCCTCCCAGCCCCCCCCCCCCCCCATGCTGACGATCGACTTGACTCCCGTCCTTGACGGGCTCTCAGACCAGCTAGAGCACCT